CCTTTCAGGACTGTAGCAGCTACGACCTTGACCTCTCAGAACACCTACAGCTGCGACCTCTACAAGGCTGTGACCCCTACTCATCAGATCTACGGATCGAACCCCTACAACTACACAGACTTACGACAGACATCAAACGACTACCAAAATACAGGTCACGGGTTCAAACACTCGGGGGTCAACTCGATACTGTACATGGGCAAGGTAAGGTTTGGGGATCGAACTCTAATGCCCGCATCTGTGACTGCAGAAAGGTGAAAACCGTTTCACCAGTCCGGTGCAGCCAAAATGAGAGTGTTGTGTGTTTGGGGGAAGACTGTAGCACTCGCAATGTATACAAGCTATCGTTCCAGTCCAGTGCAGCCAAAATGAGGGTGTGTTGTGTTCGGGGGAAGACGGTCGCGCTAGCAGCCACTACCTCTAATTTTGTTAAATGCTGCAGCCTCCTCCCTTCAGCCACTTTCTGGAGAACGCAGTTGCCTGGGCCCAACCTGCCTTCCCAACTGTTTCACGCCAGCCTTCAGTCAGGGCCGGTGGATTCTTTTCTGCTGCTGCCTTCACTTAGGGCCGCACCTAATTTTTTTAGGTGGCCATGGGGGGGGGCTGTCACGGCTTGAGGCCTCCCCGCTGCAACGGAAGGGTGTTTCATTTTCGGATCACTCCTTGGATGGAAAGGCGGCTGTTATGGTGACAGTCTAAAACACACACACACACACACACACACACACACACACACACACACACACACACACACACACACACACACACACGGGGCCTAATTCTCTGCCCTGCTTAGGTGGAGCATGGGCTGTTTCTTCGATGAAGGAATGCCTGTGGGTGGCCACGAGTTTTTTGGGGGGGGATGGGAATGTATGTTCGGAGTTTTGGCCACGGTATCTTCGAGAGGAGGCTAAGCGAGTGTCTGCTGTGGGTGTCATTCCCACAGGCTGCTCTTTTGGAGCACATGGAAGAAATGAGGACTTCTAAGGTATTTTAAGCAGTACGCTCCTGGTGTCGCGTGGAGATCTCGTCGAGTTTGGGATTATGGCACTCTATACACTACAAGCGTTAGACAGCAAAGTGAAAAGGGGGGCTGTCTAGCCATGGAGTGTTAGAGATGTCAGTGACGTGAGTGGGTCGTTGGGGATGAATAGCAGTGTCAGTGCTGTTGTACCTGTGCAACTGATCTTGTAGCTTTATGGACCGACTGGAAGGGCCTCGCCAAGATCTATCAGAACATTGAAGGATGTGGTCAGTACTTTCTTGTTGGTGGAGCCTTCTTTGTTGAGTATGTTGCCTTTTGCCCTCCATCCTTTTTATGGACTACAATATATTGTCACAAGAGTATGATATCAGAGCGCCAAAGCGAAAAACGAAAGAAAACAAGGAAAACAAGAAAAACTTGACTCTTCCTTACAACTCCCCCTGTTCAGAACCTCTTGCGTACAAGGCCGCCCACGTGGATACATATAGATATAAAACTTGTGCAAGTGGGCCACTTCTACGGCAGATGGGTGTATGGGCAGTTGCCACATAACCACACAAACGTGGCCAACCTTGCGTCTTCTACTATCTTGCCTATCTCTACCTTTTTTTTGTTTCATGGATGGTTTGTGATGATTTGTGGATGGAATGAGAGAGAGAGTTTGGGCTTTTTTTTTTAACCACACACACACACACACACACACACACACACACACACACACACACACACACACACACTTTTGAACAGATTACACAACCACGCAGAACAATCAAGGAAAGAGGGCAATTCATCTAGAACACAATCTCGCTGATTATAACATGAGATAGCAGACCGAAGCTCAACGTGCCAGCGTGCACAAGCATTGCAGCAGGTGCGGCTTGGCACGAAGTAACTTGACTGTGAGCCATGAACATGCACTGTGACGTAATAAAGCGGCAAGCAAAGAGACAAGAGGAAAAGAGAAAGGAAAAAAGGGAAAAAATAGAATAGAACGACGAGATGAAAAGACAAGGAGAAAGTTGAAGGGCAACTTTGTCATAACGACACGGAGAGTTTTTTTTTCATCCCACCTCTGCGAGAGCATGCGCCGCCAGACCCAGAAGACGCTGATGCATTGGCGCTACTGTGGAAAGCGTTTTCTTTTTGTCCTCTTTTTCACGAAGATCCTCCTCTTCCTGAGAATCGAGGGCATAGCGGGAAGACATGACAGGTGGAAAGAGGGCATGCAAGAAAGTTTCTATTACGCAAAATTCCGAATTTCGAAAAATTGAGCCGAGGGAAAATGCAGAACAGACAGAATACCAGGTGAACACAAACAGACACGAGCTCATTGGCTCGCGAGAAGATCGATTTTTCATTCCAACAACGAAGCACTAGCCACAAACATCAACATGTCAGACTGGACTGACCCTCAAGTTTGTGGCCCGCTTTCACACTCCGGCCATTGATTTTTTTTTTTTTTTTTTTTTTTTGGCCATGGAATTGCAACCAATGTGGCAATCCATGAAGTCTTAAAAAAAAATTGAAAGCCTAATTCGAAGACAGGCAAACCCGGCAGGGGGGGGGGGGGGGGGGGGNGGGAAGGGGGGTGTAGAGGGAGGCGAAGAGGAAGAGAAGAGAGAAAGAGGGAGAAAGAGGGAACGAGAGAGAATTACTGCGATTGAAGAGAGTAAACTACGAAGCAAGAGGTGGAAGCAGCACAGGATAGCAAAACAAACAGCAAAGAAATGCCTCTTTCTCAACCAAAGTGTGACAGCGGGCCAAGGAGAAAGTAAAAGGGCAAGTTTGTCATAAAGACGATAAGGTGGAAGCAGGATAGGATGGCGAAACAAACAGCAAAGAAATGTCCGTCCCCTCCGTTGGTCATAACGGAACCCAAGACCGACTCGGGAAAGACGCGGGGACAGGCTTAGGCAAAGGAAAGCGGCGTAGACCATACCAAATAAACGAGAAAGGCAGCTAAACAAGCAACCCAAAAAAAAAAAACAAGAAACCACGTAAACGAAAATGCTGGACCCAAAAAAAAAAAATAATAATAAATAAATAAATAAATGCTGAACCCTACACCTTTGTCGGGCTTTTGGCTAAGATCAAGTGTAGAATCTGTTCTGATCAGTTTTACGAATATCTGATCATCCATCGGCACATAACCATATTATAGTAAGAAATACTAAATACAAAAAAAATGCTGAACCGAAAAGCCATCATTTTGGGTGTTCACACGTCAATCGAATTTCATATTCGGGCCCTACCGCAAGCTATAGCCAGCAAAAAGTTTCATCAGTAGCTAATCGGTCGTCATTGAGCCAGCCAGTCAAGCCACGTGGCAACCATTCATAGGCAATCAAGTCTCGTCATTAACTGGTTAGTCATCGTCCCGCCAGCCAGTCGGCCACGTGGCAGCTACTCACAACCAAAAGAGCCTCCATATTAGCAAGTCAGTCGTCATCATCCCGCCAGCCAGGAAGCTTGCCTGCCCGCCGTTCACTCGCCCGCCAGCCAGCCACGTGGCATTCACCAATTCACAGCCTAGACGTCATATATCCTGATTTGGAGGTGAAAACAGTACACGACCTCCTAACCATTGATTGGCTGATGATCGGATCATCATACTCATGTCCCTCATAAACAGATGGATGGTCGATGATCATTGTTTCTTGGCTGATAATCCATCGAAATAAAAGGTCCTGACAATTGTTGATTTGCTGATATAGGACCTTACGGCGGCGGCAAGGAAGAGCGATACTCAACATGCACAGGGTTGGATATCCTTTTTCTTGAAGGAACCAGGAGCAGATCCGAAGAGAGGACACCACGTTGGGACATGAACAGAATCTCTAAAGACTGGCCGATATGATAACGCACCCATCGATGTTACACCCTCCAGGGACAACTTTCGATTGATTCTCTTTGCTTTCAATCAAAAGGAATAAGAAATCCTAAAAAAACAAGATTCCAACTGTCCCTATCTACCATCCTGGGAAACCACAGCCAAGGGAACGGGGCTTGGAAGAATCGGCGGGGAAAGAAGACCCTGTCGAGCTTGACTCTAGTTCGACTATGTGAAATGACTTGAGAGGTGTAGAATAGCTGGGAACTTAGGTAACGCATGTTTTTGTGGGCGTAAGTGCAACACCAATACGGTTAACGTTATTTTACTTAGTATTTCGTGAGACATTGTCAGGTGGGGAGTTTGGCTGAGACATTGTCAGGTGGGGAGTTTGGCTAGGGCCGCACATTTGATGGAAGATACTAGTAACGCAGGTGTCCTAAGATGAGCTCGACGAGAACAGAAATCTCGTGAGGAGCAAAAGGGCAAGGGCTCATTTGATTTTGATTGTCAGTACGAATACAAACTGTGAGAGCATGGCCTATCGATCATTTAGCGTTTCAGGACTTCAAGCTTTAAAAATTTGAACCGTTTCTCGATTTATGCGTGTCATCCTTGCGCAGGGGCCATGCTGATCTTCTCTGTATCGTTCCAATTTTAACGGATGTCCCGAAGGACGGGACTTGAAGCTTGAGGTGTCAGATTAACAATGAAAATTTTAAGAAAAAGGAAAAAAAGAAACGGAAAAAGTTATAGATACCCCCGGCGACAAAAGGCTTGTACTCGTTTGCCCCCCCGAGGTGTCGGAGGGCCCCCGAAAGGCTTGAGGCACGCGGCGGGCGATCCGTAAATTTTGCAACCAGCTTTCGGGGGTTAGTCGGAACTTTTGCCACGGTCCAGGGGCAAACGAGGACAAACGTTTTGTCGCGGGGGCATCTATAACTTTTTCCAAAAACGTGGACGGACGTGGCGGTGCGTTGAAGTTACGTACCGAGAGCAGACGCGTGGACATCGAGGCTAGGAGAGATGACTGCAGAGGATTAGGAAGCCGTGCGTTCATCACCGTGTAATTAACGAAAACGAGGAGAAGGGTTCCCAGCGGGAATAAGTACGTCAAGGCCGCCGGCCGCTTTGTCCTCGATAGTCCTTTCCGGGACTGGCTTACGGCTCCGCCAGCTCCGCCATAAGAGGGGGACGCGGGGACCACCCTGGAGTACTCCAGACCACAAGAGACGTCCGGGGCAACATTCTCTGCAGCCAACTCCTGCGGCGACGATAGTATCCCCCCTGCGTTCCTATCCGTGCCTATGACGATCCCGATACCCTGTGGGCTGATCCATCCTTTACCTCCTCCTCCTCCTCCTCCTCCTCCCCCACCACCACCAAACCCGCCGCCTACGACAACCTGATTGATCGGGTTTCCGAGTACCGCGGCCGTCCCTCCGGAATGCCCTGCAAATTGCCGCCCAGGCGATGGCATAGCCGATGCTGATGAGATGCTTGAAGCTGTTCTACGGAGCGTTGCACCAGTCAATCCCGTCATCAGGGATGGAGAGGGCAATGGGGATGGGGATCCCGCCGTCACTAGACGAGGAGACGGAGAAGTATTCGACGCGATTTCCGCCCCTTGAGGAGTCCATCGTCTTCGTCCGCTCGTCAGCAATGGCGATGACTGCGACGGTGAACTAATAGTTGTACCAGTTGAGCCGTGTCCTGGCAACTGCAATGGCGAGGGCAAGACGCCGGAGAGAGTGCTGCGCCTGGCAGATACACCCGAAGCTGATGCTGATGAACACCCGTCCACCGCCATTGCGCCCAAGTGAGCGCGCCGCAGCGATGTCGCACTCGATAGAGCAGCGGTTGACGGCTGCGCGCACGCGGAAGACGGTCTCTCCAAATTCAGAGACGCACCTCCCATGTCGGAGTGCGTCCGCGCAAGTGGACCAATTAGCTCTCCCGTCGCCATCGCCATACTTCTAGCCACAGATCCCGTCGCCATTGCCATACTTCCAGCCACAGATTCCGTCGCCATTGCCATACTTCCAGCCACAGATCCCGTCGCAAATTCCCCCTCTGTTCCGCCCCTCTCCGTCCCCGCGCGCGCTCGCACCCACTCATGACCGACCGACATGCTCCTCGGTAACCGACCACGGGCCATCGCCATCGCCATCTTCCCGGGCTCTTCTCCATCTCTACGGCGCTCGATTTCTGCGGGTGACATTGACTCAAAGATGACGGTGCTGGTAGATCCTCTACATCTGGCGGACTGTCCAGCGTCGCCTTCCGCTCGCGCTCTCTCACCATCTGCATCGGCCTCCATCTCAAAACAACAGTCAGTATCTTGCGCAACGTTCCTGGCGATCGGCGGATCAGCTATCAAGACGAGAACAGTGAGACGGCGTCGGTTATTGCCCTCACCCCCGGGGGCTAGGTCCCACTTGCACGGCCGAAATCTCCTAATCCGTGCAAGTGGGACCTTGCCCCGGGTAAGCGTACGCAGCTACCGGGTCAGATCCCACTAGCCTGGATTTTTTCTTTTTCACCCTCCATTACGAACATCAACGGTCAGAAATGAAGAATAGGGGCTAGTGGGATCTGGCCCTAAGGCTACCCAAATGTTGTTAAGAATAAAACTTCGGGGTGTGTTTCACTGGCAAAACTTCGGAGTACAGCAAGTACGGCGCCAAGTTCGGGCCTCGCCACACCACTCTTGAAAACTCATTTTCAAGAGTTGCTGCATCGCCACACAGCCTCTTGAAACTTGGGGCAGTCAAGAGCAGTCAGAGTGCCTCTTGAAACCCGTTCAAGATCAGCTCTTGAAAGATTGGAAACCCCAGCCTGCAACTCGTGCGTTTCCAAGCATTCAACAGTTGTCGGGCCGTTATCCTGACGCCATTCAAAAAAGACAAAGCTGTACGTCTGTCTTTTTGCATCCTTTGTCCAGTAATGTCACCGTTCCAAGAGTGCTGTGTGGCTATAGGGTCTCGCTCCACTACTCTATACTCTCGAAATTTCGAGAGTAAGGCCTCGCTCCACTCACTCTAGATAGGTGCTCTCGAAAAAGCCCTTCGAGAGCTGTCATAAAGCACACTCTCGAAGTGTCTAGAGTGCCCAGCCTGCGACGACATGCTTTTCCAGTGTCCTCCCCCGTACCCCCGCTCCGACCATTTTTTTTCGTGAGTGTGCCTCGTGTCCCGACCATCAGAACAGGGCGGCGCTATCTTTTAGTGCAATCAGAGAGCTCGTCTCATTCCACCACTGCATCTCGAGCAAACCCTTCTAGAGTAAGTGGAACCAAGACTTTTTTTTCGAGAGTTTTGCATGTCTGACAGCTCTAGAAGGACTCACGAAACTTTTCGTGAGTCGAGAGTAGTGGAGCGAGACCCATAGGCCGAACACTCTCGAAAATGCAACTCTTAAAATTGTCTGACAGCTCTTGAAACATTTCCCTGTCTGTCTTTTTGCATCCTTTGTCCAGCATTGTCATCGTTTCAAGAATGTTGTGTGGCTATCGGCCGAACACTCTCTAAAATGCAACTCTTGAAATCGTCTGACAACTCTTGAAACATTTCCCTGTCTGTCTTTTCGCATCCTTTGTCCAACATTGTCACCGTTTCAAGACTGCTATGTGGCTATCGTCCGAACACTCTCGAAAATGCAACTCTTAAGATCGTCTGATAACTCTTGAAACATTTCCCTGTTTCAGAGTGGTGTGGCATAAGGACCTCTTTGCACTACTCTCCATCTGCCACACTTTGTGGTTGATGGGTGGAGAGTGAAAAAACTGAGAATAGTGTAGAACCGGAGGCCTTGTTGGGGTTACTGGCCACTATATTTCTTCTGCATAAAAGTAAAAAAAGTTGTCTACTTGATCTCCACTGATGAAGCAGTACACTCTCCAGAAAGTTGTTTTGTGGAGATGTCGGAAGACCACCCTCCACAAACCGTCGTGCAAAGGCGGGGAAACCAAAAGCACTCACCACAACTTGTGTCAACCATGTGGCGAGCAGTCTGACATACTTCTCATTCGCCAAGTTTGACGCGTAGGTGCAATCAGGTGCCTTCTCGCCAAACTTGGCGTATGGAGAGTGGTGCAACCAGGCCCTAAGGAACTGATCCGACATTACATTGGCTTGGACACCACTGGGCGGCCGCCTGGAAAGTTTTGACCGCCGAGGTATTTTCCGGACCCCCCCCAGATACCAAGAAACTGTTCACGGTGGGCGTTGTCATACCAAATACCCTTACAAGGGTATTTGGCATGTTTTCTGCAAGTCACACCGGTGCAGCCTCGTTCGGTTGACGACGCATATGCGGGAGGAAGTCTAGGTCCTCGCCCGGGTGAGCGGCGTGCGCGGGGTATCAACGGCGAGGCGCAACCATGCGCGGCCTAGCAGGACGCAGCATCGCAGGCCAGCGCGACGCGCGGCCCATAGTCCCCTTACTTTTTATGTCTTCCCTCGCATTTATATTTATTATTTTTATTCTTACTTTTATATATTTCAGTTGTCTTTGACCCGGTGACTAGTTTTGAGAACGACGTCAGGCCCCACGGGCCTGGCTCGGTTACTACTTTGGCGGACACGGGTGACCATCACGGCAGACGAGGGCCTTGATCATGCTCTTTTTTGGGCGGGGCCGTTCGGGTTCCCTATGTGCCCGAGATGATGGTAAAATTCCCCTACCTTACCCGCGCTGAAACATGGACCAAAGAGGTCAATGTGCATGAGAGTGGTGGAGTCCGTAACCATGGCTTCCCTTGCTTCCCATTTGGTGAGCGTTGATAGCTTGAAATGGAAGGAAATTGGCGAAAATTTTGAGCAGGCTTGTGGGACTGCGGCGAGGGAGGCGAGGGTTGCTATGGGCACACCGTTGTCAGCCACAATCAGTTGTGTGAGATTTGAGTGTGTGCATGCTCGTCGGGACATGTAAGAAAGTGAACTAAGCCTGAGTTGGGCGGGGCCAGGGTGCACCGGAGGGAGGCTGCCGCAGTTTTGGTTGTGCAACAGGCTGTCCTAGCAGCAGCTTAGATGGAACCCGCCTCCACTTCGGTCTCCAAAGTTCTCAATTGGAGATTTGCTACTGCAGCCAAGATCTGCACCAGTACCTGCTTCACCCAGGCTCACGTTGTTGACGTAGCAGCGGGCCTGCTCCTTTCCGCTCGCTCGCTACAACATCGGAGCCACCTCGACGGTCGAGTATATGTCGGGCTCTGCAACACTGTCTTTCGGCACATACTGAGTCGGCAGGTGGGCCGTTACACACTCCTGAGTGGAAATCTCCATGACCACCGCCCTGCGGCTTGTATCAGTTATCGCACGCCGTGGCGTCTGGGTTCAAGTTACCGTACAGTAAGGCACAAGAGAAAACGAGCGGATGGAAGACAAGGTGAAACTACAAAGAAAAAAAGAAAAAAAAAAAGGTTGAACCAAGATGAGGATTGGCCTTGGGTGCGTGGGAAATGGAGTTAGAGATGGCAAAGGGACAAAAACGAACATGCCGGCGGGAGAGAAGATGTTTCATGCCGGTTCCTCGATGAAAACGGGCAAACGAAGGTTCGTTTCCAATGTTTTTTGCCATGGGGAAGCTAGTGGCGAAGTCAAAAATCGAAGTTAGCAACTGGCTTTGGCGCTGCAGAAAAAAAAGTATTCGCGGAGTGATGGCAGTGTCATTTTTTACTACAGATTAGTGGTTTGGCTGGGTTCGGTACTATAGGCAGCGCCCAAGAGCTAGATTTGAATATGACGATGTATAAACCCGTGTTTTAGGGGCAAATTCATTCATTGTTATTTGAAGTACAACTTCGGGTCATTGTTAGTCGTCTTGGTGCTTATTATTGCCCGAATGGTTCCGGTAGTTATTAGCAGCATACTCGTTGTCAATCATCCAATCCTCGTCCGGTCTTGCTCAATCCGTAGGTTCATCCCTGCGGTTTTTGTAAGATTTGGCTTGTCGGTACCTAGTCATATTGGTTGACTGGTACGTTCGTGTGTTGGGTTGAGGAGGTAGAAAATAAACGACAAAAAAAGGCAAACACTAGAACGGTGAAAGTGGGAGAGGAGAGGATCTGAAGAGGGGAAGTTGTGGGATGCTTACCTGAACGGCGGAGAGTGATAGATGTATCTCTCCGTTATTTAACAAAAGATTCACTCTCGATTCGCATTTTTTGGGGGAATGTATGAAGCCGTAGCGTATGATCATATAATAATAAAAATATTATTAAACAATATGGTCATGTACCTTCCCCAACTCCAAGGGAAGGTTCTTTCTTGTTTTGTGCAGTTTGTGAGTAGTGGAGCGTGGCACGTTGTGCCCTGGCGAGCACGCTATGTAGTACTGAATACAGACGTTGTGCTCGCTGGAGGTGGTTGCAATTCGTTGTACCGGGTTGAAACACATAAGTGAGTTATTGTGTGGGCACTATGCATCGTGGGGTTTTACCTGTACATGTTAAATGCTTTGCTGTACTATCTGTTGTGTACAATAGCCCACTGGTATACAACATTTGCATTGTTTTTCCGTTAAGACCATCTGAGTACTGATTGCCAATGAGGTGGGAAAACTTTGTTTGCATTATATTGGTCAAGCATGCTATTTGGAGGGGCTGATATATGTGTAGATGCATGGCGACGCTGCCCTCCCTGTTGTATTTGTTGAAGGTTGTTGTTATGGCACAGAGTGTCGATGCTGCCACATATGATTGTTGCTAACAACAAGCGCTGTGTATTGTTGAGTACGAGGGTCTGCGGCATATTGTTGTGCATTTGTCTGTGTACGGATATAGAAGAAGGGGTGTGCTCTATTCGAACGTTGTCCTTATAGGCCGCATGGTGGCAGGTTTATCTAAAAGGGGAGGCGCCATGACTTGAGGAGGTAGTCGAACGGCGAAAGAAGGGTACCATTGCTACTTGAAGGATCGTCAAGAGGTCGCTGCATCATGTATTTGACTGTGGTTTAGCCATTCAGCAATGATTCAAGTTCTTGGGTGCTATTGCGGGGTCCTCAGGCGCATCAAGGCATCGAGGCCCTCTCACAGAAGTTTGAGGCACCTCTTTTGAATCCGAGTGACTGAATATCTATTTTTCAGTCTTTCTTACTCTTAGTCTAGTTTTTTGGTTAAAAGAGGAAGATGGCAGGCGGGATTGAAACCTGTAATCCATGCCAAGACCTCTGTGGGAGGTTCGCCTCACTGATTGCGGAAACTCTGCCGAGGTTCAGGCGAGACCCTAGAGGCAGGGGAATTTAAGATACGCCGACGCGATCTCTCATAGGATCTCGTATACCCTTTATCTATATCACCCTTTATTCAGTTTGACTGAGTTTTAAATTTTTGTATATTTCCTTGACTT